AGGGCGGTTTCTTCAGTACATACAAAAACTTCCTTTCAAGAGAGCCCTGAATTAAATAATACCATTAAATTGCAGTGTAAAACGATAAACAAATCCAACAATAGCCCAATATTAATATACTTGATAAAACAGAAAAAGTAAAAAAAATATACATTAAAATAGGTTGCGAAATCAGACAACCTTGAATATAAACTTAAAGGTAGTGTATACCTTTTGCAGCCAACATCAAATTCTGTAGAACTTTGCAGGGATTATGAATATGTCACGTATGTCATATATGTTAAATTTAAACGTTAGCAGTGTCTTGTTATTCAAATTATGCAAGGAAACCCGTTAACTTTCTAGACTTTACTGTCATACACTATTGAGTGACTGACTGACTTTTTCTTTCGTAATAAAATATATAAATTAACTGTAAAGGGTACATCAGCATTTGTCTTCATCAAGAAAGATAAACCCACTTCTTGTAATGGAGAAAATTAAACTGATTGAATCTTTACGCAGCACAAAACGTACGACCATTCGTTACAAGGGTCTGAAATTCAGACTATTTAATAAAACGACTGCAATCTCTAAATTTGACTCGACAGCTTTCGGTCATTCTTTCCCCACAAAAAGACATTTTCAAGCCCTTTCACTTTAAGGGAAGTTCTAAATTAGTATTATCTTTCAAATGCCGTTGGAATTTAACCTTTTCATTTTTGTTTTGGCCTGCAAATGGGACATAGTACCTTTAAAGGAAGTGTAGCTTGGATAACGCAATCTACGTTTTTAGGATAACTGCAAGAAAACGAATGGACGTGATTAACGGTAGTCAGCCACTGAAAGGGAGATGGTTGTCAGTTTCCATGTGCAGTTGGTCATAATTCGCTGACACCAGTGTTGGTTGATATACCATTAATTGATGTACACGTCTTGCACACCGCAAACCCGTGGTCCCATCAAAAATTACCCCGTAGTCTTCGGGTGACCCGGGTGAGGGAAATATGTAAGATAATAATTTTTTCATATGGGGGATGAATGGTAAATGCAAACAGGCGCGGATCCAGGGGGGGGGGGGCCGAGCGGGCCTTGGCCCCCCCCCCCCCCGCAAAAAAAAAAAAAAAGAGAGAAGAAAGGAAAAGAAGGGAAAGGGAAATAGAGAAAGGGAAAGAAAGAAGAGTAAGAAGAAAAGAAAAGGGGGGCGAAAGGGCCTTGCCTCCCAGACTGTTGACCCACCCCCCCCCCAATCAAAAAAATAATAGAGAAGGAAGGAAAGGGAAAGAAAAAAGGAAAAGAGGAGATACTGGGGGGGGGGGGGGGTGTGGGGGGGCATGGGGAAAATAAAATTCAAACGTGGTTTATTTCTAAAATTCCACAATGGTGGTTTACAAATAATGCTGAAATGACATAATTTCCGAGATTTTTCCTCATTTTTTTGTAAATTATACGTTTGTATGTGTTTGTTGGAAATGACAAATTCCTAAACTTACAGCCAGGCAGGAAATATGATTTTTGAGATTCCTACATGTCAGGGCCCGAGGAACGGCGGGGATCGGGAGCCTCGAGCTCCCCCCCCCCCCCACTTTTTTGGAAAAAGTATATAAAAGAGAAATAAAATAGAATGAGAGCAAGAAAGAAAGAATAGTTAACTGCCAGTGTAATAAAAATAATGAGGCATCAAAATATGCTCATCTGACCGTGATTAAATGCCTAAAACCCTTAAACTTCCGGGGGCTCTGCCCCCTGAATTCCACCTAGGGCCTTACGGCGGCCCTTAGATGCTCATCTGATGGTAATTTAACGTCTAAAACCCCTGATTTTTTTTTTTGGGGGGGGGGGGGGGGCTCCGCCCCCTGGACCCCACGACAAATAGTGACCTGCCAGTGTCACAAAATAATTAGGTATAAAAATTGATTGTCTGTCTTCAGAGGCTTGGTATTAAGGGATGGTATTAGGGACTTTTAGATTCGCACGAAGACAATGGGGATTGCTACGATCGACGTCCTTTTAATGCACTGCCTTGAATGGACGTCACACGTATCAGTCCACGCAAATCTAAAAGTCCCTATTAGCGCAGTCGAAACGACGCAGTATGTGCATCGAGCATTATAATGACCGGTGCTCACGCTGCGTCATAAGACCATTGACGCATCATTGGACAGAGGCATCGTCCACAAAATGAATGCAAAGTGAACTGGGCAAACATTGCGTTGTATTTTACTGCATTTCACTCTCTATCCCATTTCATTCAGAGTATATACTGCAATATTGGGTTCTTCCATGAACCTTAAAGTGGAATTTCGAAGAAAATCACAAACATGTAAACTAATGTATCACTATAAACTGGTAAGCTAACAGATGGTCATCGTACAAGTTTTAGGTCAACTACATATCGGGTGATTTATAAAAATACAAATACAACCACCTCCATAGCAGCTGGGATATACGACAGATTCGCCAGAAAAATAACGATGTTTTAATGACGTCACATAATGGACCAATACTGCCCAAGCAGACGACATCCCATAAAGAATCAACATAATTTCGAAACTATTATTTCTCAAATTATAATGAGTTTAGTATATATAAACGTGACGGCACTTCAAACCATTCAAAAGGGGATATAAAACCGATTCTGATAACTAAAATCTGTTGTTTGTAAATACACAGGATAGGGGTTAATTAACAGTCAAAGAAACCAGACTTTCAAATTGAAAAGACCCGGAATAATATTAAGGACGGCATTTGTTCCCTCTCGAAGCGCCAACATACCGCGGTGTGTGCAGCTGAATATACACTGGCGTCTTATTTTGTTTACAAGCGACAGATTCCTTTATTTTTGTATCGCTGCATTTGTCATCAAAATAAAAAACATGCGCGGGGTTTAGATTGAGGCAATAGATTATACATTTAGCCTGACGGTATAGTAGTGAAGTAAGAGAGAGAACTCAAGAGAAAATTAAAAAAACAGGCACTGAAAATGTGTGAGATGTCATGGGACATCGTCTGCTTGTGCAAATCATGTCCATCCTGTGATCTCACACATCTCAGCAGCGTTCGAAGAGCTCTTCAGGTGACATTTTGTTTCGTTGGGGGGGGGGGGGGGGGGGGGGTTAAGGTCACCTTTTTTAGGTCAGCCATTGGCATATTAAAAAAAAAAAAACTAAAAAGGGGGGGGGGGGTTCACAAAAATCATACACATACACCGAACATTCTACAAGGGACACACCTTCTCTCTCATACTGAATCACAAAATATACAGTTAACAACAATTTGATGATTTTTGTGTTGTTCGTAACTCAAGAAAACAAAAGTGGGCCGGGTGAATTAGGACTATGTTGAATACTTTTAGATGTAAGCCTTAAAGGTAAAGGCCAGTTATGGTCATGCGATTGCATTGTGAAAGAAACGTTGTGGAATCGATCAGAAAAGGTTGATCATCTAGCATCTAGCATCTGCAAGGTTCTGGAATCATCAAAATGATAAGAAATTTGGCCCATTCTTCGTAAAGTTACAAGCACTATACACAGAAAGATGTATATGGGACTACCCTATATTTCTCACAGACCATGAGAGAAACAAATTTACCAAATATATGAATTAGTAGGCGGTTTCCCGGCAAATTTTTTATCATCATGTATTAGTCAAAACATATTCTTGCACATGATTGGTAATGAGAGCTTCCATTTCATTTTTTGAAATTGGGGCGTTTCCAATACTGGTCTTTACCTTTAATATGTCACATTATCAAGAGACATATATCGGGACAATTCAAAATTTAATGTTCACATACTTAGAAAATTTAAAAACCTTGGTAAGGGTATGAATACTTAAATTGTTATTTGTAAGGTAGGCCTACCAGCAATAATTTATTTCCCGGTCGTCATACTAAAAATGCTGCATAATTATCTTTTTTTCTTCTCATTTCAAACCGACGCTTTTCAAATCAAATTATGTGAAAAATGATATAGCCTATCATTTAAAGGATACTCTCTAAATGGAAATCCACTCTTGTTTTGGAGCATCATCAAATAATGGTATCCGCTCTCAAAGGGGTGATTTATACCACTACTGTTAGCGTGAATTTCACACTAAGTTTGGAGTAGATTCATACTCTAAATACGAAGTGATCCCAGACTCCTAAAAGACTGGATTTCCGTCCTCGATATTTTAATGTCAGTAAATCACTATGACTAAGAAAATTATTCATTACAAACAAAAAATTGAGACACTTGCCGATGGTGACGGTTGTTAGTATATTAAGCATTTTTGTGTCCTTTAATCAAAATTATTCTGACTTTCGTAATAGAGAATAAAGTTGTCCATTACACTTGAAGAGGGCTATAATGTAGATAAAAGATTTGCTGTTAGTGAGGTTGGTAAAAGAGGACAGAGCCCCAGAGACATCAAGGGAAAGAAGGGAGCGTAAGAAGAAAAATACAAATGGATAAAGGAAGAAGAGAGAGAGAGAGAGAGAAAGAAAGAGAGGAGGCAAATGAAATCAGAGAGAGAGAAAGAGAAAGAGAGCCATCCAAAAGTGTTATATACTGTACCTGATATGTATCACAGACATGCGGGCAATCCTTTTCCCTCGGGTGGGGAAGGTTGGCTGAAGTCTCTTGCCCCCCAAAACTTTCTTCCCTTTTAAATTTTGCGAGTGAGCGCACCGACCGGGCAAATTTTACATAAAATGACATAAACTAGAAATAGGCACCCTCACTACCCGATTATAAGATGACGGTCGTCCTCATTATGGGTACAGTAAAACCTGTCGTATGGTGGCCACCTGCCCATAGATTTAGTCTCCCTCGAGAATGTAAAGTGTGTTGTAGAACCTGTCTAGAGTTTCACTTTCTGTTTTTCCCTTGGGTGGCCCGAATACACAGACTATTTTTTGTCCTTCAAATTCCCTGTGGCTACTCCCCCCCCCCCGCTTCGATCGTACAACTATGCCGATAATGTATACCCCCCCCCCCCCCGAAAAAAAAAAAACCTGTACAAACAAAAAAAAGGTCAAAGTTTAAGGGTAAGAGTTAAGGTTACGATTGGGATTGACTTTATGTTTAAGTGTTATGGTTATAATTAGGTTAGGTGTATAGTGTTCGGTCCAGGGTTGAAGTTAAGATTTCGGTTAGTGTCGAAAATTGAACGAAACATTTTGTCCCGGATGTTGTCGCAGGAGCATAGTGTCGTACAACCATTGTAAGAATACCCGCCTCCCCCCCCCCCCCCTCTCCTCATCTACCCTCAATTTTCCCTGAGCCTTCTGATCCTCATAAGCCATTACCTATTTTAAGAAACGCTTCCCTGGGCAACGCTTTATACTTTGACCGCGCGGGTACCCTCATTAATAATTCCTTTCGAAACAGATCTCTTATTATTCTAACAAATTTAGAGTGGAGGAATCTACACTACCAGTCAATCCACAGGTCTCATTTTCAAATCAACGCTTACAAGAGACGATAATTTGCATTATGAATTGTTCTATAGCATGCAGAACATAAAAAATAGCAGTCTGTGATCAATGCCAACACATTTTCACTCTGAACACAACAACTAGTTGAAAGTTGATAGCAGACGACGTCGGTGAAATTGAAACGAAAACCCGATTCTAGCTGACTGCACTAACATTCGACGACCTTTCCACTCACATGATGGGGTAAGTAGTAGCATCAATTTGCAACATTTTGTTTCTTACATAGCACGAACGTAAACTACATAGCCCGAACGTGGCTGCTTCGATAACTGTAGTCGATAAAGGTACAATGTATTTTTATAAAATAATAATGCAACTCACTTCGCATTTCCAAGCACGACGTGTTGGGCGAATTCACAGGCTGCCTATACGTGCTAGTAAGCAAGTATTGAATCTTCCGGTTCGATGTGTGTAGAAGTGTGAGGTTCAAGTATTATCAGACAAGTATTACTGTGTTATCGTGAGCATATGGAATATGTACTGTAACGCTTTAGAAGCTTGTTATAATGATGATTTTAGCTGTGTAATGTACAATGTAAAATACAATGAAGGAATCTAAAACTATCGGACTACATTATTCTTTTCGGAGGACTGCAAGACCCCCCCCCCCCCCCCCCCCCGCAGTACAAAGGTGAAGGTTCTTGACTCTCATAAAAGAAGTCCAAGGTTCGATCCTTACTGTGTCCTATACTGCCTGGCTTGAATAACGGTGTTTTGCAAATGTGCTTTCTTTTTCTTCTGGTAATTAATGACGGGGTGATAATATAAGGACTAATTATTATTATTAATTGATAGACTTATACTGATGAGGCCTCTCTGGTAACATAAGACAAGTATTAGTATTGATACAAAGCCTATATATACACTCAAACACCAAGTACGTACATCACATTAAGTTCAAAATCAGTTAAAATGAAAACAACGAAAATCATCTTAAAGACACCAGGTATGTCCCATTTACAGGCCCAAAAAATGAAAAGGTTAAATTCCAACGGCATTTGAAAGATAATACTAATTTAGAACTTCCCCCCAAAAGGGGGGGGGGGGGGGGGGGGGCTTGAAAATGTCTTTAAGTGGGAAATTAATTTTGGCCATTTCAAGAAGTGGGTTATTGATGTAAACAAATGCTCATGTATACCCTTTACATCTCATTTTATGTATGTTATTACCAAAGAAGAAAAAAGCCAGTTAGTCAGTCAATAGTGTCTGGCAGTGAAGTCTAGCGAGTAAACGGGTTTCCTTGCATAATTTGAATATTAGGACACTACTCACGTTTAAATTTTACAGAGAGGACATACATGACATATTCATAATTCCTGCAAATTTCTACAGAATTCGATGTTGGCTGCAAAAGAGACATATCTTTATCTTGGGATAAGTACACTCGGCTCAATAATACTTGATGGGCCAAGCTTATTTGTAAAATATATGCGCAACCTTTATCGGTGTAAAGTAACTTTTAGTATTAATGATATTGGGCACTGGCCTGTCAAAAACAACCTTGCTTTGATTTTATGGTCCCCGAACGAATAAAGTTTTGTATTCCCTATACATAATTAAAGCATCGGAATAGTTTATTACTTTACTGCTGTTCTCAACGAGAGCTTACTATGGGGAAATCGGCTTAGGTTCGAGTATGTCATTAAATTGCTAAATAAATTATGCTGTTAGGTATGAATGTTTTAGTGTTTAATTTATGGTTAACAGGCCCTACTTTAGATTTTTTTCAATGAATAAATATAATTAGTAATCTTTTCCATTGGGTTCTGATAGCGTGAACATCGTCTTTTTGATTAAAAGTGTCATTAACAGAAGACTAGTTATTGAACTCACTATTCAGTTTTGATTGGTATGTCGTATTCTTATTTAAATTGTGCACTTTTCTTTTATCCAGCCAGGTTTTTATCGGAGCAGAACGGAGAAAAGTGCCCAAATTTAGACATGCGTGGATTTTAAGCTCCTTCAGGTTTCTTTGTAATTTTACTCTCCCTAAAGTCTGTTCCGCTAACATGTTTTGAGCGCCTATCACCCATGCACTCCATGTTTTCATTTATGGGTAAAGGTGGCGTGCATATCCAACATAACAAATTATTTCGATCGAGATATAGTTTCTATTTCTTTATTCCGAAATGTTGTCAATACTTTCGTAATGAAAGCTTAACGGTCAAAATAAATATAAGGTTCAAGTTTACCATACCATAGCTAACTGTTTAAAAATAGTTCGGTATTTACGTTTTAAGGTTTTCGCTTATTTCATGAATTAAATTATGATAAAAATACATGTACATATGTATTCTTGTAAAAGATGGTTGACCTGAATATTACTAATATCCACATTTGGACATGATTACACTCCAAGCTCTCAAACAGTTTTCCATTGTAATATTACTCTTTAGAATCTGTTCGACAAACATGTTCATGAGCTTCCAAGCACCCATGCTCCTCAGGCTAAAATCAGTGATCATACTTTCTTTTATGTAAAACTGAATTACCAGCGTGAATATCATTACAAATGATTTCAATCAAGGTACGTTTCCTTTCAAATGTGTTTTTCTTTCTTGTTTTACCCTTGTTACAAGCCCAGCGGGGGGCAAAGATTTGTGTGGTTTCCAGGCAAAGTCACTCTTCTCTTCTCTCTCTCTCTCTTGTGTTGAAAAATCCAGGGTCTATGAGTAAACACATATCCATTATATACTCTAAACAGAGAAGAAAAACGGAAAGACACTACTATGGGTGTCGATCCCGGGGGGGGGGGGGGGATGGGGGATATACCCCCCCCAATATTTCAGGTTTGGGGGGTGGCCTGTACAATAATCCCCCCCCCCCCCAATAATTCACCATCAAAACAAAAATGAAGAGAAAAATTAATGATGAGAGCCCGATGAGAGAAGTTAATGGTTATTACTCGCAAGATGACCATCAACATACACATTTTGCTATCTCATTTTCATAATACATACATATATAAATAGAAAACGAAATAAATGAGACAACCGTATATGAGACAAGAATAAATTGATTTCTCGCGCATACAGCTTCACCAGGAATTAATGAATTTATTCAATTTATTCAATCAACAGCATCATATAAATGCAGTGCGCCAAATGCAAAGCCGCAGCTCCAGCGTTAAAAGCAACAAGCTAAATGTTAAGCGCGAAGCGCAAAAGTGCAAAAAAAAAGTAGAGAGTGGGAGAGAGAGATAATGAGAGACAGAGAGGATAATAACCCAGGTAGCAAGCCCATGTGGGACCCACATGGGTCTCGTATTCTCTGAAACATGGGCCCCATATGGAAAACCATCTGGGGCCCTAAGGCATCTGCACCCAAGAAGCATATGGGACCCATAAGGGTAAACCCATACAAGACAGATGGGACCCAGATGGGACCCATAACAAACTGGGCCCAAATGGGTATGCTCAGCTTAATCCCATCTGGTACCCATATTGGTTAACCCAGATATATCCCATGTGTGTTACCCATATGGGCATATTCATGTTCTACCCAAATGTGTACGCCCAGCTCATTCCCATCTGGGACCCACAAGGGCTGGCCCAGATAGATCCCATATGGTTACTAAATATTGGCCCCACATGGAATACATATATGTGTTCCATTTAGCCCAGATGGCACAAGTGACCCAGATCATCCCCATATGGGCCCCATATGGGCTTGCTACCTGGGGAAAGGGGAAGAAACGGGCAGAAGAAGAAAGGAAGGGGGAAGAGAAAAGGAAGAAAGACAAGAGAAAGATGGTTTTGTCCAAATGGCAGCATGTAGGAGAAGAAACTTTCAGTTTGTTCCCTGATTCATATTCAGTATCTATTTTGTTTTATTGATTTCATCCATTTTTTGTTATTGATATTTCTACATGTAAAACAATTGAAGAGCTATTTTCCGAAGGAGCAAAATCTTTTGATAACAAATGGAGGTAATGATATACATTTTCCTCTATTTGCCTTGAACAAACTTATTAACCTAAATTACGAGAGAAATAATGAACACATGCATCTTTTAATAACAATTTTCCATAGACACCTGAACAAAATCGGGTAAACAAAGAGTTCTTTCTTAAGTTACACGCATGGATCTAGTGCCTCTTGAAAATAAGCTCTTTGTATGTACATAAACAAGCAATACAACAGAATACTCCAGTTCGATATTTGGGAGAAAGATTATTATGTCACAACTTATTTATTGTTGTATTGATAAGCTGATGTAGGCCTATTGTATTTAAACGTAACAGGCATAAGATTAAGATGTTTTTGAAGGTTAGAATGTTATTAAGTTTGAAGTTTTGTTTATAACACCCTTCTGATAATGATGCACCTTCTAAGACTGGTTATATTTTTTGAAGAAAAAAACAGTGCTCTGTTCAGGGCCTTAGGGAAACATTAGGCTTATATTTTAGAGCGCATCTGGTATGATAAGTATATCTGGGTGAAGGAGGAGATAATGTAAGTTTGTTGTTTGGTAGTTGGAACGTAAGTTTTATATAATGTTTTTAAGAAACAGACAGTTTGTATGAGATCAGGAGTGGAAATTTTCTGTCATTTTGAGAACCAAATTTTGCATCAGTGATATTCTGTTTCATTGAATTGAGTTTCCCGCATGAGGATTCAGTTTGTTTAATTAAAGAAGGAAGAGAGTCAACTTGAAGAACCAAAACCAATATGTTTTTCATTTACTAATGAGAACTATGTTTTTTGAGATCTCCTTACACAGAATATTGGAATCGGTTTTTCACGATGAATGTTGTTTGGAGAGATCAATATTCATAAAATATATGTTTCTATCACCAGGAAATAAAGAATTTTCTGTCTACATGAACATTTCCTGGTCGCTTATTAATACATTTGCCCACTGGTAACATTATACTTTTTTTTTGGTGAGCCGAGTGAGCGTCAAGACAGCTCCTCACGGTGCTCCCAAACTTGTTGGCCCGAATTCACAAAGCAAGGTTTGAGCTCAAACCTCCTTTTGTTTCGCCAAACCTCCTTTTGTTCTTTACAAACCAGGTTTGTAAAAAATGCGTAAAACGCGTCATATGACGTACGAAAACCTTGGTCTGAGCTCAAACCTCCTTTGTGAATTCGGGCCATTATGTTTTTCGTCGTTAAGTTTGTACTTTTAGCATTACTTTATATAACCAACATAATATTAGGTTTCTGGAACACTTTGGACAC